CTGGCCCTGGGCTAACATCTGTGCCCATCTTCCTCCACTTTATATGGGACACCGCCACAGCATGGCTTGCCAAGCAGTGCGTCAGTGCGCGCCCGGGATCCGAACCAGCGAACCCCGGGCCGCCGCAGCGGAGCGCGCGCACTCAACCGCTTGCGCCACCGGGCCGGCCCCATATCCTTTCCTATTTCTGAGCTAAGGTTTGAGATTGTTGGTTATTGTGTCTGATCTGTAGCATAAGAGCCTGGCAAGACAGGTGGAGCACAGATGCATGTATGAACAATCTGTGTTTAGAGGGAAAAGGTTATGCTCATCAGAGATTCTATAAAGTGCTGTAACAGGGCTTATTCTACCTAGTAAAGGGCATTTCCAACTCACATGGGGGAAATACCCTCTAGATTTGGATCTTTCTCCTTCAACATGGACCCCTGGAGCTTATCTTTCCAACAGGGAGAATGACACCCACCTATATTCAGTGACTTGACTCCTGCCAGCAGCTGTTTCTACTCCCCATCAGTCAGAAAGAGGAAAACTAAATATACTTATTTGGTCACCTGTTCTCCAAATATGGGGTGTATCTGAACATCAACTCTGTGCCAGGGTATGCTCAAGGCACTGGGGACTCACCCGAGAACAAAAGTCAAGGTTCTTGCCCTCAGGGGCTGACCCTGGGGTCCGCGGGGATGGCAGACTGGAAACAAGTAAACAACAGGTGAACAAGGAAATTTCTTATGGTGACAAGTGCTAGAGGAAGACAGAACAAGTGTGTGACACAGGGAGATGGAGGATGCCTAGGACGAGGTGCTGACATGTGAAGACAACGTGAAGGAGCCAGCTACCAGACGCCTGCAGGGTCAGAGAGGACCGATCACGCTAGGATGGAGACTCCGAGGGGCTGGCCTCTGGGGCGGCTCCTCCCCTCTCCTTCATGCCCACAGCCGAGAGATCGGACATCCCAGCCTCAGCTACTTACACCTTCAGGTCGGAGGCGCAGTCCTCCTTGAGCATCGCATCCGCCAGCTGCTGCAGAAGAGCATCCTCCGTGCCCACCAGCTGCCCAGAGAGAGAAGGCGGCCGACTGATACCTGGGCACAGCAGTCCCGCTGGAGGCCTGGGGACCAGGCACCGACCGAGGGCGGCCGCGACTCCCAGGATTCTGGCTCCGGCTGCCGCCAGGCACGGGTTGAGGGCCCGAGGTCTGCACCTGCTCGGGTTCTCTCCGCACAGAACTTACTACCTCCCCAGACCCTCCCTCGGACAGCCTGGGCTCTCCCGGATGTCCGACCCTGCGACACGCGAGCACCAAGTCCCAGCCCTGCGCCGAACTCAGCCACCCCCTCTCCGCCCGTCCGCGGTCTCCCCGCCCAGCCGCCCACCAATCAGAAACTGGGAGAGAGCCCGTCGCGCATCTATTGGTGGGGGCGTCCTTCAGCCTCAGAGGGCGGCTACTCCGATTGGCTCCGCGCGTGGCTCTCCCGCCCACCACACCCCGTCCGAATTGCCCGCGCCAGTACCTCAGAGAAAGAACACAGCGCGAGTGAGGCGCAGCCAAGGAAGAAGAGCGGGCGGGGGAAGCGGGGTACTGACGCTCACCAAGATGGTGGCCGTGTTCAGGCCAGGCAGCTTGTCCAGCGGCCGCAACACCGACATCCCAGCCGCAGGCCCAACCGCAGCTCTTGTGCCGCGCGCCCTGCTTTCAAACCGCTCTGAGGCCCGCCTCTAGTGCGCGACCGAGGGGCACGTGACCCTCTTTAGGCGGGGCTTTGTGGGGGGGGTGGGGCCCTCTTAAAGGAACCGCTACCTCATTTTCTGACGGGGAATTCCAGCGCTGGCCCCAGGCACTTAAGGTGCTGCCCATGGGACAGGCCTTTTATTTCAGGTCTCGGAGAAAGAAGATATTTAGTGATTCATGTGTTCATTTTCGTTCATTCATGTTCATTCACCATACTCTATTTTTTTAATAATTTTATTTATTTATTTATTTTTCCCCACAAAGCCCCAGTAGATAGTTGTATGTCATAGCTGCACATCCTTCTAGTTGCTGTATGTGGGATGCAGCCTCAGCATGGTCGGAGAAGCGGTGCATCGGTGAGCGCCCGGGATCCGAACCCCGGCTCGGCAGGAACGGAGCCTGCGCACTTAACAGCTAAGCCATGGGGCCGCCCCAAGTTATTCACCATACTCTTGATTCCTTCCAAACCTGCCCTTCCCACATCTTCTCAGTCTCAGTTGACTCCATCCTTGCAGCTGCTCAGAACAAAATGTTGGGGTTGTTCTTGGCTCCTTTTCTTCACACCTCGCATCCAATCCGAAAGCAAGTCTGTGGATTTTATTCTTAAGATGCATCCAGAAGCTGACCACTTCTCACCACCTCCACTCCACTACCAGGACAAGCCACTGTCATCTCTCACCGGGACTATTCTAACAGCCTTCTCACTGGCTCCCTGCTTCCACCTGGTCCCCAGGGCTACCTCAACTTACCACACAGAAATAATAGTCATCCTTTTAAAACAGAAATCAGAGCAGGCCACTTCTCTGATCAAAACCCACCAGAGTTCCCATCTCACTCAGAGTATGTTACAAACGCCTTCCATGGGCTTTGAGGCTCTGCGTGTTCTGGCCCCTGACAATCTCCCTGGCCTCATCTTCTGCTCTTCTCCCTCCAACACCCCTCTAGCCACATGGGCTTCTAGGCTGTTCTTCAAATATTCCAAGTATCCTCCGGCCTCAGGACCTTTGCCCCTGCAGTTCCCTCTGGCTGAAATGCTCTTCTCCCACGTAGTCACATGGCTTGGTTCCTCACTGTATTCATGTTTCTGCCCCAATGTCATCTTCTCAGAGGGGCCTTTCTTAATGACCCTGTCTAAAATAGCAAGCCCTCTGTTATATACTATCTCCCCTTTTCTGCTCTATTTTCTCAATAGTACTAATCTCTAGTTCATATATTGTCAAGAAATGTGCAGCCTCCGAGATTTTACCTTACTTACAAACCAATAAACTGTTACTGTTTATTACTGTTTAGTAATATTCTGTTACTATTTCATGGATGCTGGCAGAAGACATGAAACTCCTGGTTCAGAGACAAAGGACTTCATTACTCATGGTAAAAGCAGTAGCCAGGTTTGTTTGTTTGTTTGTGTCAGGTCCCCTTAAACTCTGCAAAGGACCCATCATGGATGCCCATACATGTCATGGATGGCATTACAGGAGAGGAGCACAGAGATTAGAGATTCACCTCTTTTATAGTGAGTGGTAGGCATGCCTGTTCTTTGTCTGGGGGGAGATGTTACTCCATCCTGCAAGGTTACTTGCTGCGAACACAACCCTGAGAAATGGCCTGGGGGGTAAAGAGCTTTCAGGGCCTTGCTTTCTTGGCATACCCAGCAAGAACATGCAGGGACGCTCAGGGCCCACGGCAGATTGCTTCTTCCGACAGTTACATAATTACTTGCTCATTGTCTGTCTCTCTAACTAGAGCATAAGATACATGAGGGCAGAGACTTTGTCAGTTTGCACGTCCAGCACTTTAAAAAGTGCGTGCTACATGGTAGTTGCTCAATAAATATTTGTGGAATGAATGAATTGATTTACATCCATTCATTCATTCTCAGCAGTGATTCATTCACCATTTCCTAGGGCAAACCCAATGCCCCACCCTGAGAACATGGATGAACCAGACATTATTGATCAACTCAGTGTGATTGGGGAGTCAGATGGTGATCACACAGTGTGCTCATTGCTGTGACATCTGGGAGAGCAGAGGCAAACTCCCTGTCTAACCGAAATCCTCACTGCAGACTAAACTAATTACATCTTGCTTAGAAAGAGCTGGAAGTAAATGGCTTCATGGAGCCCTTGCCCCAGCACAGATGGGGCTTTGATTCCTCACAACATGCGGTGTGGAGGGGGCTCCCTGAAAGTCAGGGAGCAGTGAGTACTATGACAATAAGGTAAGGTGGGTGGGGATAAACAGAGATGGGTAGGAAGAAGCTCCTTTGGGTCAGGGGAGGCCCCTCTAAGAAGGGGATGTTTGAGCGGATGCCTGAATTCACCACCACAATCAAGATAATGAATATATCCATTACCCCTAGAAGTTTCTCCATGCCTCTGTCATCCGTACCCCAACCCTTCTCGGCCTTCCCACTCCAAACTATTGAAAAGCACTTTGGCAGCTTTGCCATAATAGTCCCACACTGGAAACAACCCAAACATCCCTCGGTGGTGAACAGACAAACAGGTTGTGGTGTGCTGATACATGCAACACCATCAATGAATAGCAAAAGCATTGAGCTGAGCAACAGAGGCCAGACACAAAAAGAGTATGTACCATATGATTCCATTTATATGAAATACAAATACAGGCAAGACTAATCTATGCTGATAGAAATCAGGTCAGGGGGAAGGGGGTGACTGGCAAGAGGCAGGAGGGCACTGTCTGGTGATGGAAATATTCTAGTCATTGATCAGGGTAGTGGTTGCATAGGCGTACAGACAGGTAAAAATTCATCACTTAAGATTTGTATTGTACTGTATGTACCTTATTTCTCAATAAAAATCCCTCTGTGAACTCAAACTCGCTCCCCTTGCCCCACATGTGCTGGAGAGGATTTACCACCTTTGCAGGGGCCCAGATGGTCCCGGAGCTGGCAGGATGTCTGTGGGGTGGGGGACCCAGGGTCCTGTAGCCATCTCACTCACAGCCTTTCCCACCTGCCCATCCTCAGGTTTCTGGGAATGGACTCCCCGGGGAGGTGGTTCCTCGAAGCCTCTTTCCTGCCCGTGGGCCTCCAGGCCCACTCTCTCCTCCTGAGACAATGACCGCTGCTGTTTATGGAATGCTCACTGGGCGCCTGACGCTTTGCAGACACTCTGTCTATAGAACAGGAGGGAGGACTCAGGCTTGGGAGGTGGGCCCCCCACCCCCACTCCCTGGCTTTGTCAGTTAGAAGCTGAGTGACCTAGACAGAGAGAGTAAGCAGCTTCACCTCTCTGAACTGTAGCTGCCTCATCCCAAAATGGGCTCTCAACACCAACCAAGCTGAAGAACTGGACGAAGTGATGTGGGGGCCATGCCTGGCACATGGGAGTGCCCAGTGCCTGGGAGCCACAACTATTTCAAGCTATATCCCAGCAGGGGGGCTCTGGGGCTGGTAAGGCAAAACCGGGAGGGGCCTGAAGGCCAGGCTAGGGCTCCGACCCTGGCATTGCGACTCTCTTGCCGTGTGACCTTGGATGATGCATAAATGAGGTAACGTAAGTAAAGCGCTGAAAGCAGAGTCTGGCACGTAGTGATAAACACTACATTGGACCAATGCATCCAGACTCTCAGTCTCAGTCTTGGTTCTTCCCTCTATAACCTCATATATATGACCCTCATTGGCTCTACTGGTCACTGCTTCTGTGTCCCCACCCACTTGCAAGGGACTCCAATTTCTCCCTACCCTCAAATGGCAACCCTCCAACCCCTCCAGTTATTTCAGCCAGGGCACCCCTCTGCTCTAGGCCCAGCAGCCTGCTGGGTGGCTCCCATCCTTCTCCAAATTCCGCCAACCCTGCCCTGCCTGTCATCTCTGTACCACGTGCACAGTGCAAGGGATCCAGAAGAGAAGACTGGTTGCCAGGGGCAACGGAGGATAAAGCCCTTGCTCTGCGAGGCTGCTGATTGGCTGAGACAGGTCCCGCCTCCTGCCATCCTGAGGGTGGGGGGCAGAGGAAAGGGTCTCCTCTGATGGGCAGGGAGAGGTACCAAGGTTCCAAGCCATCCCAGGACGGCCTCCTCCTGGCCCAGTCAGAGCCCCTGGGCCTGAGAAGCTCTGACTCCTGTGGAGGACATTGGCTTCACCCTTTCACTGCCTCCAGCACCCAGGGCGGCCACAGATGGCAGTGTCTCTGGGGACAGAAGCTGTGACTGAGTCCACGGGCTGATGCTGAGCTGCCCAGGCTGACGCGGTGCGCTCAGCGCAGAGCTCCCGGAACAGGCATCTGCAGGGTGTGGGGTGAGTTTGTGGGCTCGCGGAGGGCCACCGAGTGGTGTCAATGGCTTGGGAGGCAGGGAGAGGGGCTCTGCAACCCTCTCACTGTCCTGGACAGGACCTTGGCTTGAATGGGTTGAAAAATTCCTTATAGATCATCTGGTAACCCCCACCTCCACCTGTCACCGTGCATGGGGAACCCTGAAGTCCGGAGAGAGGGACCAGTGGCCCAAGGTCACACAGAACGCCAGTAAGTGTTTTGCTTCAGCTAGGCCAGTCCCCTGAGGAGCCAGGAAGAGGTCTAGGGGTCCTCAATCTGCCCTAGAATGCTTGGGATTTTGTTCACAGTGATGGAGAGGTTGGGGGACCCTGAACTCGGTTCCACAGATCCACAACACTGTAGCTGAAATGGCTTCTGCTCTGCCCGAGTACCCCATTCTCATGTTTAAGCTGCAAGGAGGCTGGGGTCCTGGCTGGGGCCGGGGGAGGGGCACGAATCACCTTGGCTTAAGTCAGGCTAGTTTGGAGCAGCCTTCCTGCTTGGGGTCCCCTTCCCCAGCTCCCCCAACCCAGGCAGCACCAGGCAATTCTGAACTCTCTCTTTGGTGCTCCAGAAAGGCAGCCGGTCAGGAGGGCACTGTGCCAGCCCTGACTTTGGGCCATTAACACACTCTTCATTTTATTCCTCCATGAATAGGGCATCTTGAGACACTGTGCTTCAGAGCAGCCAATGGGGACCCTGGGGGGCAGGGGAGGGGCTCTGGAT